GGCTCATCAGGGGTAATGTCCTTTTACCCTGCACTCACACCCCTAACCCACTATCCAGAATCCATAAAGACTTTCAATTTCCCAGCACAAGATACCGCAGCAGCAACATCTAATTACAGGACTGAGCAATGACGGCAGGCTGCAGTAATGGACTGCATGGTGACGCTGTGAAAACACCTTGTTACAAACCGTCTCCTGGACGCCATCAGTCACACCGCAGCGGGGGAAATGGAACGGCAACAGGTAGTTGACTCAACGGACTCCGACCTCTCAGTGTGCTTTAACACACGCGGTGTCTTCGGGGAGGAGAACGACGACGGCTACGGGAGCACAAGACAAGGCGATGACGCCGCCCCAAAAAATGTTTGCAAAGTCGATATTGAACACCGTTGTCGGGGTTACTATTTATCTCACGCGGGCCAAGTTGGCATGCACATCTGGCGCTGGGTACTTAGTGCAATTATTTATGATTTCCTCCAAGATTTAAAAGCTCTTCGCCCGGCCTTGTAATGCAGTAACTGATTGCACTGCTAATGTAATTAAGGGGAGATTATGATGTCCACGTGGCACACCAGATGGTGGCATTCACAGCCATGGGGGAAGGCACAACTGGCACACCACTGCACAAGGGCAGTGAGGCGCAGTCAGTCGGAGCAGTCCAGACTCCCCACCAGACGGAGGAAAGTATACGTGTGTATGCATGTGTGTGTGTGTGCGCGTGGAGTGGTTTGCAAGCGCAGATGCATGTGAGTGTGAGGGTGTGCGTATGATGATAAGTTGAGTAATAAAGTGTGTACTGGGAAGAGATGAGTGTATGTAAAGTACTACCAAAAGAAATGGCTTCCAGTAGACTGACCGTCTCTAGGTGCAGTGGATATTGGCTTAGACTCTCAGAAATGCACCATAGAAGTCAAATAGAGACAGTTAGATATATATAATCTATGTTAGGAACTGAATCGGACAGTTCCTACGTTTTCATTGTGTGCACATCAGTGAAAAAACAGGGTAAAGATGGAAAATTAAATCACAATTGGCAAAGCCTTCACGTTTCGGGAAAATTCTTAAGCCAAGGCAACAATTGGATTGGACTAAACTGACCTTTAAAAACATGATATTATAGAGCCTTGCAGGGCCGTATCCTATGGGGGCACTAAGGGAAGGCTTCTTAAGGCTCGTTATTATAAGCTATTCAGGAGACACAAGGACGTTTTTTTATGTGTCGACAGAAAGGGGAGGAAGAGGGGGGGGGGGGTGAGGGTCATATATGAAATGAGACCTGGAGGTTTCTACACAGCCCATAATGGGTTCGTACGGGTGACGGAGACATTGGGGCGCAGTAGATTTCCCAAGTTGAGATAGGGATATTATTACTCTCGGGGTGGCAACACGGAAATCTCCATCTTCAGTCCCCAGACTAGTGTCAGCAAATTACAAAACACCGACAATGACCTTTACACACAAAAGGAAACCTTTGCTTTTTTTCTTTCTTGCATCATTTGGGTGCAAAATTGTTCACTGAGGTGTAATTTCAGTGCAGGGGTCCCTCTGTCATCCACTGATTACTGCTCAAAACTTGAGACTCACCTAAATATGTGTGTGGTATTTCATCCACGGTAGAACGATGCAGTGTTTATGGGGTCGACTTCACTGCCGTTGAGCAGGTTTGAAACGGGGACAAAGAAATCCTAATTTTGAATGCTCTTTCTTCCCGATGCAAGGCGTAATGCCGGGCGTCCTACGCTGGCTGCTTCTCCACAGAAATCTGCCAAAGCCATCATTCATCTTACCCCACCATCCTCAGCATGCGAGATGCAGCACATTAAAACACTGTAATAGCTGATGGCTTTCACAGCTAGCATGTGTTGCTGATATCTCCAGACTCTCGTCAAGCGTTTCATCACCTTTTCCATAATTAGACCATTATTTTAGCAGGTGTACCTCTTCGTCGCTAGAGCATGTGTTGTTTTTTTCTTCCCCCTCTCCCTGCTGACACCTGAGATTTTACCTTATCAACTTCAACACTGCCTCAATTTCTAGATAAAAGAGCATTCTGGTTTCAGTGGGTTGTCAACACCTTGATGGGGAAGCATGTTGTGTTGTGGCGTTGTGTGTGAGGTGGGTGGTTGTGATCATGGAGGGGTGTTACATCTTACAATCAGCGCTTCAGTAGAAAGAAATTATCTTCTAACATGTACATTTCTCAGCTGCAATAATAATCATGTGGAATTCTCCTCTCTCATATTTCAATGACCGTCTCCATCACTTCCTTATAGGCATACAGCAGCATGTTGTGCATACAGTATCATCATATGTTGTAGCCTCATGTCACACGCTTAAAAGCAACTCACACATCTCTGGGGATCTCAAAACTCCACCGTTCTGTTTGAATGTGCAGCCATTTTAAGCCCATGGATACGTTTCACCATGCTGGCACATGGCACCACGTCACAAAACAGCAACAAGTCTTTGATTTGAATAAATTAGGATGATACTTGTACAATAAAATCATGTATTTGATTGGTATGATGGGGGTGGAAATAATAAACTTGGCGACGGGAAAACATCTGTTTCCCCTCCGAGGCTTTCAAATGTTGTAGTGCGGGAGATACAGCTGAGCTAATACATTGCGCTTTATCCTACTTTTATCTGATTACAGTAATGACATGTGATGATTAGAGAGACAACCAACTGTCAGAAGGCGTGACCTGCAGATGCATCCAAGTTATGATAGTCATTTAGTGAGGCACAACCTTAATTCACTTACCAGAAGCAAATTGGATCTCAAAAGTTATTGCAAAGAAATACACCCACAAGTCAATGTGGCATTGTTGGCCCGGCTCTTTATTCTCTGTGCACACAGAATTCAGTCTCTCAATGTAAATTGGCACATTAAGCATTTCCTTGACTTTCCGATGGTGTTTTCATATCATGTTCTCTGTTCGATTGCATCTCAACAAACCAGTGCAGCAGTTTGTTCAGTATTTTGATTGGATGCAAAAAAACTGAAAACTTTATTATTTATAGCCTATTAAAATAGCCTGTGAGTAAGTTTGACGGAAAACCGGTCCTTCGGTTAAATTAAAATCACTCCCCAAAACGTCCAACAACCCAAAATCCCAGGGAGAAGTGAGGAGGATATCATTACATTACAGGTCATGTAGCAGACGCTTTTATCCAAAGCGACTTACATTACACTTTAAACCCATGGCTTTTTCACATTTTGCCCAGGGAGCAATTAGGGGTTAGGTGTCTTGCTCAGGGACACTTCGACTTGAAACATGGGGCAGCCGGGACCACCAACCTTGCGGTCTTCAGCGCATCAGCTCTACCCCCTGCGCCACGACGACCCATATCAGCTCAATTCACTTATGTAGTCAAAGTCAAAAATGGCTACGATTCTTTCAAATTCGTGTAACCATATATAACTTTTTTCCCCGAAAAAAAGTCTCCACAACGTTGCACCTAGAAACGGATTTTAGTTAATTATTTGTGGTACCCGGAAATATTGACTCGCGCTGGTTAAAGTCCAACGTTGAACGGAGACAGCGCTCAGAAAGAGACGACCAGACGACCAGGTAAACAATGAACAAATGAATAACTTACCTGCGATTTTAGTTTCATTACTGAATAAACATTAGCTGTTTGAAATACAGCGTGCAGGAGCGCGATCGGCTGATTATTAAATACACCACCGTGAGTAACCTTAGTTAAGCAACACACCAGGAACTTGTTAACGCAAGTTCAAAATGTGTGAATCGGCACACAAAAGGGGTTCCTGTTTAGCAACGAATACAATGTCTGATTGACAGAAAAAATAAAAATTAATGTAATTATAGCGATTACAGCAAACGTATATTCATATCGATATGTGTATCAAGCCTTATTTAACGTGAGCCGGCTACATATTGTGACAACGTCAAGATCCAATACTCACGTTCACCATCTTATTCCATGGTTTTAACACTGAGGTGATTTGTAATAAAGCACTTTGATATTCTCAGGTTGATATCTAATAGCTTATTACCTTTAAAACAAAGCTCACAGTCCCCATCATAGCAAAGGCCAAACCATTCCTGATGTTCTAGCCGCCGTTATGCATAGTCATCCGTTTAGTATAGTCATCATAGAGCCGGTGTAAACTTAATATTACAGACACAGTTTGACTTTGGAGCAGGAGATAAGTTTGAGTGGATTTCTGTTTTAAAATTAAAAAAAAGTCTCCGAGCCTCTCGATGCCCGCTTGGAAAACAAAGCTCGTTTTGAACAAATGAATGTTACATAGAGATCCTTCATTCTATTAGCTAATTTGCTATCCTGTTTCATTTGAATAAGTACGGCTATCCAACATTTGTTAAAGAGACAGCTGTTTCTGGAGCGAATCCCCTAATTGGATCAGCTTAATTGCAATAGATTCCGTAAACATCAAGATTGAATGCAGCAACTTTGTCAGTTAGTACAAGAATGCTTTAAAGTTAATCTAATAAAATTGCGTAAGGGAACCATTGCAAAGCCACTTACCCCGTAAAAAGGCTTGCATACCCATTAGGGAAAAATTCCCTTGGACAGGAAGAGATAGCAATTGATTGGGACTTCCTTGAAAATATGTGATCACTCTCCTAATTTGTGATTTGGTGAAGTCATTGGGTAGTGTCCAATTGTGGCTTTTGTCATTGGTCTCACATGTCATTTCGTCCTGGATTAGGGAGGCACTTTTTCTTCCAGATCCTAATAAGCCTCATCAAGAAGTCAATAGCAGGGTCATTTTAGCCAAGAAAAACCATTGTCCATTTAATGATCCTGAAGGGAGAAATTCTTTTTTGGGTTTCGCTAGCTGCATTTTGAATTAGAAGTTTTGACATTTATCCCTTTTTTCTTAACCGTACAGGTTTGTACCACAATTCCACTGTGATGTGAATTAAACTTCATTATGTTTATTTTTAGAGATAATACCATTTTGGTCACTATTATTCTTTTTTTTCCTGATGTTTTTCTGAACGCAGCTTTGACATGGAGGAAGCGAGCAGCCAGCTGCCAGCAGACCCGATCTCCGCAGTTGGAGTCATCGCTTCACTCAACAAGGCCCCCGATGGCTACTATGCTGTGAGTATTGACTGTGAACCGTCTCAGCGCAAACAGTCTGATCAAATGAAAAAATGCATTTCCTTTACTCTAAAAAAACGCCAGTGAAATAAAAAATACAAAAAATGTGTGTTATTAAAATGATGATTATAATCACAGGTCCAAATTGTCAGTGATCAAAGGTCTGGTCTGGAATGTGATCCCTCGTTGGATTCGCTCCCTGCTGTTGGTCGAACACGTAATTGTGGTAACTGCCTGTATAGCAGAACTTACAGCCCGGATGTTGGCAGCCTTCCAAAGGTTCTTTTTAGAGCTGTTAGATGACTTATTCATCAAATCTACTTTGATGATTAGGAAGATTCCCTTCCTGACACAGTGTAACACACACACTCACACACCAGAGGCAGAGATTTAATGATGTTTGGTTGATGCCCACAGAGAATTGTTTAAATTTAGCCCATGTTTTCCCTAAACCAACTAGCACAACAACTTTAACAAAGATGGGAATGTGTAGGGATGTAGTGTGCAATTGGCTGGTTTATATGATCCTTTTCATTGTTGTGAAAGGTTTTAAAAGAGAAGATTGCGAGTAAGTTAAACAAAGCACAAAACTAGCTCAAGGGCACATCTTTCTTCCTCTCTCTCGCTTCCTTTGCAGCCTCCTTCTTCTTGCTTTCCCCTTACTCCCCCAAACCCTCCCTCTCCCTCCTGTTTTTTCTTTTTCTCTCTTCCTGCTCCACCCTACACACCGCGCTTTTTCTAATCTCTAGCAGATGATGGTGGGTTGGCATCAAAACGAAGCCTCTGGCGGGGAAACTACGTTCGCCCCATACGGCAGTGACAAACGCGGCTAAACCCCTTCTGACTTCCTCCTCGGCTGCTCCTCCGCCGATACTGCGCGTATTCTGAAGGGTTTAAAGTAGGCGCTGACACCGGTGATAGAAACAGTTTGGACTTTAGATGATGCGTAGTAGACAGGATGTTAAAGGGTTATCTTCGTCACCCTGTTTCCCCTCACGGTTCGGACTAAATGAGTCGTTTGGATCACGGGTCGGATTATGAATTTGCGCTACCACAAAAATAGTCTCGTGCAGTCTAGTGCAAAGTTTTACTGACTTGCATTACACAAGGAGTCCGAGGCACCAATCTCAAACGCATTTGCACCATCTTCAAAGCATATTTAGAATTTTGCTCTGCGGTCTTTCATCTGCAAACTTGAAGTACAAACAAACATCACTCGGCAACAGGGTGCGAATGCAGCTCTGGGAAGATATAACGCTGTATTCATTTTGTGTTATTCGCACCAGACTGCCTTTTAGAAAATCCTCCTTTAACACTTATACCATACTTACCATTCTTTTTATACGGCGGATGAAAGGGCAGATTAACTCTTCCGCTCTCTGAGACGATGCGCTCGCATCTCTGAACTCGGGCAGGTTTGTTCCAACACAAGCGAACGCAGGCCCAGATCAAACGCCGCTCCGCTGCGATGAGGAGCAGACAGCCGACATCAAACGCCACGAGGAGACTCGCGCACATTGTGCATCGGTAGCTAAGGGCTTAAAAAGTGTGTGCGTTTGAAGAAGCCCAGTGATCAGCCAGGATGCCCACCGCGACCTCCCCGCCTGTCCGCTTCTCAGTGAGCATCTGTGCTCCAGATGAGTTGTTTGGAAGGTAAAGAAATACACTTTATTTCAGTCTTGTCAAAGCTGGTTCAAGGAGGCCCAGAGATGAAGAGTGGACGCTGAGCTAGCTCTGTTTCACACTGCCAGCCCTCTGAGGAGCACCTGACTCGAATGTTTTACCTTGTTTGTTTGATTCCAACTAGGAGGCCACAGTCTACTAGTGTTATTAAGTACACTGCGTATATATATAGATATATATTATTCAAGATTCTCTCTCCACTCCACTTGTGTTTTGAGTGTAATGCATTTGCCAAAAAAGAGACAATGTACAAAGTTTTAAGATCCATTCGTTGTGTGGTTGTTTTAGTTGGATTTGGATTTATTTACTTTGGAAAAAGCCTCATCAGCTGCAGTCATTAGCTAAGCTAAGCTAATGACCCCCCCCCCCCTTTGATCTAATGTTAGCTCCATACCTAATGACTTGAGAGTCGTATCAGTCAAAACACATTCCCCAAACTGTTACCAAAAGTCAAATGACTTTTCAAAGTACCTGCAGCTGCAGTTCTTTTACTATATAAACAGTTCATCTATTTCCAGTTGGAAGAGGAGACATCAGAGGAAAGATCTGAAATAGTCTTTCATTCAAGGACTTATTTGGCTCCCTGCACCTCTCGTATGTCGTTTCCACCTGGTTTCCCTCCCCAGAGCTTTCTGATTGTGTGCCTTTCATATCTTTTTATTCACAGCTGTGCTTCATAGGAACTTGCCGGTGGTGTCTGTCTCCAGAGATCCTTCATAGGACTATTTAAACAGCCCCGAAAGACTTGTTTCATAGGCGGGCTTTTAGATCACTGTAAGCTTCGGATTTGAGGAAGTGGCAGTGGAATCTGTCACTGCATTTCATATCAAATGATCCAGCCGTATTTCAACATCAGAGTCGTGATGTTTCTTATCAGACGTGTGACCAAAAAAAGTCTTTGTAACGACGGAGCCACGCGGCGGCCGACTTGAGAGTATCGGAGAAGAGCCATCGCCACATTGCACTCGCCTCCTCTGCCGCGCCTCGGCAAGTGGCGCCTTTGCATTCGGGCCGCGTCGCATCCTCGCTGCCGGCAGCTGTGGCAGGATGATGCCTGAGGTGCCTCCGAGGAGGATCGTGCCCTCGTTACTCCTCAACTTGACTTTGGGTTTCACAAAGCGAGCCCTTTGTTTACGCTGACAGGATGCGCTGGCTACTGACCTGGAAAAAGTGGCCAAGACGGGTTGTCTTGTAAGGAAGAGGGAGGCCGGTGATGTATCGGCTCCTCCCGGGACTTTTTTCATGCTGCCGCCGTCGGAGACGCCCCACAATCCCTCTCGTACCCCACCGTCTCCTGCGCTTTCTCGTCCTCTCGTCCCGCTATCTATCTCTGTTCCCCGGCTCTGGTCTCCGCTCTCATCCCGGCTAGTCACTGGAGGTTTTTCATGAACACCCGTCCCCCTCCCCCCTCCTCACCCCCCTCACCCCCCTCACCCCCACCCAGTCACCGAGGTCATTCATCATTTTTGTCAAGGGGGTAATGTGTGTGGGTGGGTGCAGAGATCTATGACTTCTTCATTTGAATGAACCTCATTAGATTGACTCTTCTTTGTAAAGGATCTCTTTAGAAAACAACCCTGGCAGTTCTTTAGGTGATTCTCACGCGGTAGCCAGTGGAACACGACGCCTCAGCCGAGCATATTTGCCGCAACGACGGAGGGGCCTCTGTGATGTGCGTTCTGTTTTGCTCATTCTTTCCGCCTCGCATACCTACATTTACATAGCAATGTGATGTCGGACCTTGAGCATGACTTGTGATGCCTTTGCTGTCAATATGATGCAATCTATTATTTATTGTTTTACTTGCCTCACTGATCATTGGCAGCTTTCAATGAGTCTTTTGTACAAGGACGAGCTGCTGAGATTTGGGGATTTACTCTTATTTAGGCAAACACTTGAAAGTAGCTTTGAATCCAAAGTAATTTTCAGAGGTCTCGTCTCAATAAAACACGGAGAAAAGCCAAAGAGGGAGAAGAGATGAGAACTATTAAAAGATGCGTGTGAAGTTGCTCAAGTGGTACCATGGTAGTTAAAAAAAAAACTTCTACATTTACCCCAAATATAATCCCAGCTCTTTCACCAAAGCACATTGAAGTTTGGTTTCCTTATTAGAGCAGATCCTTCTCAAGGCATCCTTAATCAGCCTGCTCCTGAGGGATGATATTTTTAGCCACCTTTTTTGGAGGCTAAGACTCCCTTTACCCACGCAGAGCACTAATGAGATGGAGCGCTAGTGTAGGCAAGCGTTAATTAAAGCTAGTATGCAAGGGAAGAGGCAAAGCGAGGCGCTCGTGGCATACATACATTAACTTTATCCCACCTTCTGCATGTTTTTTTCTCTCCTTGTTGTTTTTTTTTCCTCTCTCTTTTTTTCACGTAGGTTGCACAAACAACAGATGGCTTCGACGCCGACCTGTGGAAGGACGGCTTATTCAAATCCAAGGTCAAACGCTACCTCTGTTTCGCCAGAAAAACTGTAAGTGTGAACATAAACTTCTCCCTTTCCCTTTGCACTCGACGCCAGCACCTGGTCCGCTGCATCTTTCGGGCTCGCCAGCAGTTATTAGCTCTTTTCTCTGCTGCCAGAATATCTTAATGCCCTTTGATCAGTGAAAGAGCCATTTAAAAAAAAGCATTGGCTGTGCAGTTTTGAACTTTTACATATAATGGATCTGCCTGCATATTCCAGATGAATAATACCTCAGTGAGATATTTTTCATGGTGTACGTCCTCCTGAGGATATTATTTATTATTTATTCATGAAATAACAATGAGCTGTATTCTAGCTATTCCAATTTATTCACTTGACAGTGTCCCTGTTGAGAATAGGGTTTGCAATCAGTGATTCTGGAAAGCTGAATTACATATTTAATGTAAAAATAGTCCTTTTCATGTCAGGAAATGACCCCACAAAAAGCACTTTTAGCATGGTGGTGCTATAAATAGATCCCCTAATTGGGCAGCCTTGACTCTTCAGTGGCTGTTAGTGTTCCTTATAATGTTGTTGAGATGTTTTTGGGATCTTCTCCTGCCTGCAGCCCTCAGCTCGGTGGCCATGAATACACCTTCGTGATAAAGTTTACTATTGTATGCTTTCCAATTTGTTTCCATTGCTCGCAGGTAGATGCAAAAAAAAAAAAAACACCCGGCACTTTCATTATCATTTTGTATCAGCTCAATCTTAGGACTTAATCATTTTTTCTTCAGCGTTTCCTCTAAAAGCATGGCTACTTGGCCGCGGCTGCCTCGTGCCAGAGCTCAATCTGCTCCTCAGATTAGTAAATAGCAAACAAATAGCCCTCCGCCGGCTCCTGTATTTTATCTTAAAATGTGTGTCCACACTGTTTTAAGGACTTTGACACAAATGGAACATGACAGAGCCATCAACAAAGGCTATTTTGTCTGTCACTCAAAGGGGCTCCCACTGTAATTGTCGATGACAAAAACAGATTCTGTAAAATTAGCCGCTGAATTATGTGGGTGGAAGTAAATATTTTGTGATTCATCATCCTCTACATTGGAGGTGGAACGACCCTTTTTGTCAGGCAAAATCTCCCCAGAAAAAGTGGAAAACACAAGAAAAATGTTCCATGCATAGTAATAACATTTATCCATATTCCTCCATAAGTCAGTGTAAAAAATATTTGTATGAATAAAAAATGTCTGACGGTAATGACTATCGGGCGGCAGTAGCAGTGAAATCCAGGCTTTTTCGGACGCATCAAGTCACGCCTGGCTCGCCCCACTCTCTACTGCCGCTGTGTATTATTGCAATTTATTATGGCAAAAAATGAAAATGTAATAGGATGCAAGGAAGAGTCATGCTTGAAAATGTCAGCTACACAGTGCCTGATTGTTTTAAAGCAGTCCCATTCCGTGGATTTAGGCTGCCTGTCTCCCATCACCCCGGAGCTTCTCGCCAAAAGGTTGAGAATGATTACAAGTTCACAGATGCGTTCGCTTTTTGCAAAAAAAAAAAAAAAAGCTATTAGAGAGTAATTACTTCAGCTATTTTGTCAACCCTCCTCTTTAGAGACTTCCCGAGCTTTTAGTAAATCATTGACTATTATCTCTACATTTTCTCTGCTGAGCCCAGCAAAAAAAAAAAAAAAAAGACTAACCTTTTATTTTTCTCGCTCTCTGTCCTTTTTAAAAGTTGAATTTGTACACATGACTTTAAATGCCCTCTGTCGGTTAGGGGGCTGACGCTGTAGTTGTGGACTTGAAGCTGCTCGACACTAAGGACGCACTGCCAGAGGGCTTCACACCTGTGGAGGAAACACTGGACACAAGTAAGTAAACAGTCCCTCCCGCCCTCTTGTTGTTGTTGTTTTTTTCACAGAGGTCCATGGGGGAGGTGGGGGCTTTGCTTGAGATAGTGAATGTTTTATGGGTGCAGGTTAGCTTAATTTATGGCAGACTGTGGAAATAAAATAAACATTTTGCCCAGGAGGTACAAGAGAAGAGAATCATGAGTCATTGTTTATCTCAGCTGGAGCTGTGCTTTTCTTTATGAGGGGCTTATTTATTTATGTATTTATTTGGGGAGAGGACGAGTGGATGGGGGTTATCTAATATTAATGAAATGCATTCCCCAATGCTTTAGTGCTTTTTGAGTGCTATGTATTTCCCCTTCACTATCCATGCCTTGGAAATGTAATAATATTTTGGTGTGGGAAGGGAGGACAGCTTGTTTATTATTTTTATTATCATTGCATTTACACTGCACTTTCCAGTGTTGCAGGGGAAATAAATGAGAGAGGCACAGATGCAATATAGAGAAGCATAGCAATGATTTTTTTTTTGCCAGAATGGAGAAAGGAGATTACGTTTTGTTTGGCTATGGTGTAATTTAATGTTTTATTACTTTATGTGGATCCATGTTTTATGTATCCATGGGACATTATGTATGCGTTTCTGAATATCCCCCTTAAATCTCTGCTGTGCACTAAAGCTGATCGAGGATAGTCTTGCTTCCGTCATTTTTACCCTCTGAGATTTGACAAAACTTTAATAACGCATGTGGATATTGTGGCTTTCCAATGTCCAGTTATTACCCCTTGAGGACAGCGACTTATTCATAAGCTGATTCTGTGACCAGATAACAAAGCATAAGATGCATTAAGACATGTAGAGACTCCCATCTGACACCCTCATGTGTTCTCATCAGAGGAAACTGCCACGAGGAAGAGGAGGCTGTGCATGAAAATCAGCCCTTGTGCTGCTGCTGTGACGGCCGTGTATGACATCCAGATTGTTGCCAAGTCCAAATACAATCTGGTCAACTACACCTGTATAGGGTGAGCTGCTTGGCACTGCAAATACATTTATTAGTTATTAACCATGTTTTGTATCTTTCTATCAATCACTACATTTGAGGCATTTACTAATTAGTAGCTGTTTAAAAGCAATTGAAGCGCTCCTTTGTGCGTCTCCTCGTCGTCTTGACACAGTGAGATGAACAGCATGGGGATTTGGTGCCGGATGGGAGACGTTCCTCAGCATCGGGCCTCTCAGGAAACGTCCAGTGAGGCTAAGCGGGACGCTCCAGACAACACCGCCAGGTAACGCCGCGCCACTTGCTCCTGCCTCTTGAACTTCACCTTTTCCTCCTTTGCTTCCTTTTTTATTTCGAACTCGGCGGACTCTCTGCAGTCGCTGTTACGCTCTGTACCACCCATACGGCAAAGAAGAGCCAGACGTTTTCATCCCTCTCAGGCAATGTGCAGTAAAGGTCGTGGGCCGGACGGCGGGGCAGCGAGGGTAAACGGGAGAGACAGGCTTAACGAGACAGGATCCCCTGAACGGGAACACGAGTGCAACGAGGGCTAAGCCGCTTCTATTTGCGGGCTCCCCCCCCCCCCCCCCCGCGAGGCAACGGCAGGTCGCACCTCTGACTGCAGTGACAGGCGCCTCGTACTGCGCCGAGGAAGAGGAGGAGGCGCAGCCCGGAGAGCGAGCGACAGCTGCGGAGGAAGGGAGGAAGGCCGCGAGACGTGCAGCTGCAGCGCGAGCTTCCTCTGCTCATGCTGCTCGGGCTTCCTCGGGCCTCGGGCCTCCGACTGATCGGAGCAGCCCTTTGTACCGTGTCCAGATCAAACAGCTCAATTATTCACAGCGCTGAAGGACTGAAGGGATTTCCACAGCAAATTGTAAGCAAACAAGCGAGACTCCGTTCGGCAGGAGGGAAGCCTCGGCACGGGTCGGCGGGGCCGGTTCGCCAGCTTGAAAGGGCTTCGCTCTGCCATCCTGTGCTGTGGAAAAGCCGTTCAGAAGGCAGAGCGGCGGCGAGGCCAGCAGGCGTGTTCCCAAACCGAGCTTCCAGCCATGAATCGTATGAATATGTTGGAAATCGATGGTCGATGATCTGTCAAAGCTGTGGCGGTGTTCCGCGTGCGTACGCCTCAGTCACGCTTACTCCTCCGACCCTTTTGAGGCCCACTTTCAAGTTGGGGAGGCTCAAAGGTTGCAATAAATTGAACCTCGAAGCGACTCACTCCCCCCCCCCTGATGCCTGCTGAGATCACAGGCTGCTGTTTTTGTATCAACATTCAAATTCATTTCACAGTCGGAGAGTCTTCTTTTGAGAGTATTTCCATCCACGAAGCGATGACACATAAGGACGGGACCGTGGGCGATCTTTGACTGTGTGTTTGGCATCCTCTCCGTGTAGTTACATGCACTTTAGCCAGCAGAACACACAGACAGCTTCTTTAATGTCACCGATTTCTAAACGGGTCTCCAGTCCTTCCTGATGGCCTATGTGAGTACAGTGCAGCTGTGTGTAGTATCACCCCTCTATGCTTTATTCATATTCAGTAAGGGAAAAATCCCCTCTTCCATGCCTCCTTCTCTCTCCATAACAGCTTTATGGCCTTTGGAGAATAGCGCCTCTTAAATTTAAGTGCTCTTTAAAGTCAGTGGAAAAGATGTTTTTAAATACAGTCAATAATGTGTACATTTTGAATGACCCATATAATTTTGAAAGCTACAGTGATCCCTCTCAAATGTCGAGTTGCCCCAGGCGGCTGGGGCTTGTTGGAGTTGTGTACGATCGTACGCTGCAGGGTTGTGGGTTTTTCAGCACTGGGGAGGCGCAGTCACCGCAGGGCGCCGCATCGTTATGGGATGCACGCAGTGATTGCATTTAGGCTCAGGGGCTGTGTTTGAATTGTTGTTTTTAGATATTTCTGTTATTAATAACTCTTTTTTGTGTTTGAATTAGTTTTCTAGAAAAGGCCTGTAAAAGGTAAATAATCTTATAGTTGGAGTTTGAAATACTCTCTCTTTCCGTGTCTACGCTGTTGGGATGGATAAACTAAAAGCGTAATAGCTTCCTGATAGTGAGTTTGAGTTTTAGTCAGCACCAAAAGCACTACTGTCACTAAAACTGTACTACCAATATAGCTGAGTTTACTAAAAACCTCAATTATTCCAGCACTTTTTAATTGTGCGGAATGTGAAAATCACCCTGTCACGGTGTGGGTTTGTTTCCTGTTTTATTTTGTAGTTTCCTGCCTCGTTGTCCCTGGGTTAGCTTCACTTCCTGCTCTGTCATCCCTCCGTCCCTGATTGTTTCCACCTGTGTCCAATCACCTGCACCTTCCCAGTGTATTTAAAGCGTGTGTGTCTCTTGTCTCTGGTTCATTCAATGTGTTTGTAGTCCGGTGTAGACTGAATGTTTTTGGCGAGTTCTTGTTCCTGGTCTGTGGTTTCCCACCTGAGGCATTTTTTGATGTTGAACTTCAATAAAGGGTCATCATCAACTTGTCCGTTCAATATTCCCAAACGTTAATGAACACTCATACAATGCAAACAAAGGTAGAGGATCCTTACAGATTTTAGATATTCAGTCAACTAATGGATTTGCAGCTATGGAAGGAAAAACTATTTTATTCATGTCACATCCCACATAGAATTAAAAAGGTCTCAGGAAGTCTTCGACTTTGAGGGAATCTCAGGCAGGAACAAAAGAACGGACATTTCAAAAGTGCATGCGAGTTGTATCAGTTCAAGGATAAGCACTAACCCTAAAATAAAAACTTGTCATTGGCTCATCCTGTCGTGCCACTGAAGCCGTCTGCTGTTGCGAAAGTGCATTTTGAACCTTGTTGTGTTTAACGTCTTAATCGAGTTTGTCCAAAGCGCCTCGACCAGATTCAAAGCCTTTGGCTTGTTGTCTGTCACGAGCGACCGCACCAGCCGCTCCCTGACTTCATAATGTGGAAAACCTGAGCCATCCGTTCGCCTTTTAATGTGTCCAGTAAAGTCCCCCCCCCCCCCCCCCCCTACTTTCCTGGCCAACGCTGCCATTTGTTCTCCTGATAAAACTGTCATTTCTGCTGAGGCTGATATCTGACCTCTGCAGCGACTGCCGGCATAAATGAGCCTTGTCCTAATATTGCAATTTCTTCCGCTTCACTCAGAATCAAGGTTTTTGACGTTTTCCCTTCGAATAGTACACACAGACACTTTTGCTTAAATCAAAACTGTACCGCGATAAAAAAAATGTCACGGCCAAGTGTCTCTTTGTTCTCCTTCCGTTGCCGTGGTTAGATTCTTCTTTAACGCGTAAGGCTGAGAGCCCATCAGTGTCACACCTGGCGCGCATATCAATACGTCTCGGATGGCGCCGTCTTCTACCTGTGACACTCCACAGGAGTATTGTATCAGCTTTCATCGCTCGCTGGTTAACCAAGACTTCCCGCTGCACGCGACTCCGGAGAGGAGAAAGACGCGCCTGCGACTGTCGCCTGACAGATCTCCCGTGTGAAGCATCGGGTGGGGGAACAATCGTCCCCGCTCATTACTTTCTTGTGTTGGGGGGGGAAAAAGTTCCCCCCCCCCAAAAAAAGTAGCGCAGATCAAGCGGAGGTGTCAGGAGTGATCGGATGATCGGCCGAGATCCGATGAGCTCAGACTGTTCAGTGGTTCGCAAACCAAATTTGGAGAGATCCTCCTTTTCAACAGCTGACACGGAGCTTAAAGGAGGATAATGATGGGTGAGAAAGCAGCTCTGTCGGCACGTCGAGGAAGGTGCGGAGATGTTGTCACGGGGAAAAGGGCTGGATGCGTGTCAAAACAGAGCCTGCTCCTCAGCGATATACTCTCATCCCCGTTTACCTCTCACTGACTACACTCGCTGTCCCAGGCCGTCTCTCCCACTTTCCCGCCTCGCGTTTTCATCACAGGCGACTCTCTTCCTCGCTCCGCTCGGAACACGTTGGAGGACACCAGACAAAACGCAATCTGTCGAGGCGTAATTCGAGTTGTCAAGCGATCCTCCGTGTCGCGGTTTGCTTTGCCGCACTAATGTGATTTTAACCCCGGCAGATTTCATGGGAACATAAGACTCTTGATCCGCGTTTAATTACGTGAGTCTTTCAGGCCGTGTTCCCAGTTTTACTGTAATTTGATGAGGAACTACACTGTAATTGAATATTCAAATTAGGAATATGTGTCAATATGGCTCTCTTTGCCTGAAATGAGGATTAATTGTTGTCAAAACTCCAGTGGCCGACATAATAGGAGCCCCAACACTGCTGTTGATCGGCGAATGCATTTGCCATGTTTTTGTTTTAAGAATTAGTTGTCTAATTGATTTGCCATATGTTACCCTCTCCAATGTACCTAAAATTGTATTTAGAAATCACCAATTTGGATTGAGACAGTTTTGTGTTGCAAACAGATGGGGAAAGCAACCCTGGAGGTTGCCTGCAGAAAAGCATTTCATGAGCAGCACATTTCCCCGGTTTCACGGAGTCTTTGGGGTTTTAAGTACCTCTTATTCTTTCAGATATATGGATGAATAACCAGGCGTCATACTTTCTCTGCTCTCTTTTGCTTATTCATAGTTTTAAGTTAATTAAGTATCAACAACACAGACGCCGTAAAAAAACGTTCAAACACACCAAAGACACGCAGACAGCCCCGTCCATCGGATGTCTCTGCTTTGAAAGACGTGTACCTTTCTTCCTCACCACTGGAATCAACCTTTTGAAAGGTAAAAGAAGTCTGCCTCCAATATGGCAATCGTTCCCGCAAGATTGATGCCAACCTTTTTAAAAATGCGCCATCGGCCCAGATTTAACGTGGCCAAATGCGGGTGTAGACGAGGAGAAGAAGAGTCGACCCTTTCGTTGCAAATAAAAAGAGTTGCAGACTCCAGCTCATAAATACCACAGCCTGTCACAAGTCCTGTTTTATTGCTTCTGATAGAAATGATTGCATTTATTTGTCTCATCCGGTGAGATAAGGCTTTGAAACCCACAACTCACGTGCATCTCTCATATGCAGATCTGCCATTAGTCAAGAATTTCAAGGTTTGGGATTTTACATCCCCACATAAGAATTATGTTTGCCATAAACAGGCCAACTACAGAACATGACGCAGGCGGCACACTTTGTTCTTTGCAACTTCACACCGGCTCGCTCCCAAGATCTCTCTGTCTTTCCACGAATTATCGCGGTTTGGTTCTTCTGCTCTACCTTGTTCTATTCGTCTTCAACCACGAACTCTTCAGACGCCGTGTCCACCAGTCAGAGTGAGCCCCTCCATAAAGATATCGCCGTCCACTTTGCATCATCATTATGAGATCATTTGTTTTATAATACAATCCCGGAGCTCATTTTACCTTCAGAGCGTGTCATGTTATGCGGCGCTCTCTCTCTCTCTCTCCAAGCTGTGAATAATTTTTTCTCCCCTGCTTGCTGTGGATTTATCGATCCGTAGGGGTGAGTCACGGGGTGTAATTCATGATAGCTTGATTGATGAGGATTTCAATCTTATATGGTTTGTTAACTTTCAACTGCCCACAAAGTGCATTCTGTGCTGTTTTCCGTAATACAAGGCCATGAAACGGTAAAAAACAAGACTTCCCTTGAATAATGGAATCTTTCAGTTTCTCCAGAATTTACAAGATCCTCCCCGAATCCCCTCGGTAAAAAGGTCTGTTCAAGCCCCTGGGCAGCTGAGGCCCAGTTTAACTTTTACCGTATTTCACCTCTTAGATCCATCTGCTTGCTTTTGTGACGAGATAAAAAAACGCCTTTTTGTAAGCGAGTGAGTGTCCCTGCATGCTGAACACATTCCAGGCGTTTTATTTGAACGTCCCAGAAACGGGTCTTTGGGCATAATAGTTTTTATTTATTTAGAATATTTTTATGACGCTGTTCTTTTCTTTCTGCCAGCTGGAGGAGCACGACGAGGCCGGACCACGAGCCCCCGAGCGGGGGCCACTACACTATGACAGGTAAATGTTACATTTGAAATGTACGCAATTCCTTATTATTTACGACTTCACTTAAGACAATTAAAGGGATTTAATAGCAACGCCCAAGATGCAGTAGGTCGTAAAACAGCTTGCTTTTATCGTCCCGCTGGAAGGCTTTGGGGTTCGCTCCAGCTATTTGGAGAAGAAGTTTGAACACATGTGCTCTGTGTACACTGAATGCCGTCCCCACGTGTACACGAAGGCGTTAGCTTGATCTACAAACGCTGCTGAGCCTAGATCTCCTCAGTGATGGATACTGTACAGCGCTTTGCTTATCCGAGCGAGCGTGACTTCCCCAGAGGAGCTCGGCATTACACTCAAGAGAACATTTAGCAGCTGTCAAAGACGATCTGTCACATGGCGTACTTACATACGTGCACCGTGCGTCGCACCGGACGGATTCGCCGCTTCTCTTGGCGGAGGAGAGAAACCTCGGAAAGGGAACAATGCTGCAGGACTAAAGCAGAGGGGAGGATAATTCGTTAGGAAGCAGAGCTTAGCTGTGATGGCCACAGAGCCACGCAAGAGAGCGTGTGATCCACACGAGGTGAAGCAGGCAGACGGGTTTTTATCCAGCTGGAGAGAGACACCATGTGGCGAGGATTCCTCCTGCTGCTCACATGCAGGCACACACAGGCGATATGCCACAGCACAGCCGGCCTTTTTAAAACAACACCAAATTAAAGAGTATTAAACAATCTGCTGTTTCAATAAATAAATAAAAAATCTAAATTGAAAGTGACTAAATTCTCATTGTTTTTTAATTTACTTTTTTTTATGTTGACATATAAAAAAAAAGCATTTTAATTGACAAGAAATGAAATACATTAACTCTGTTGCTATGGCTGCCATATTATAAGTTAGTCAAGACAAGTGTGGCCCTGAAGGAGCAGACATTTACACACAGCTGAGTGCTCCGTGGCACCGGGTGTGCGACTCCTCCGCTGGGACGGCGTTTGAGTGACAGTGAAGAACATGCACATACTGTACAGCGCGTTGCCAGCGCTCATCCTTTATCTGTAGAAAACTCTCCTTTGCAGCTGTGCACACTCTACCTTCACGTGTCCCCGCGCGGTTATAAAGGAGAGATGATAATGGAGTCAGCCGGAGATGGTTCTTGACTTTATTTCTTTTTTTTTTTTTTTGCTTGAGGCCGTGTACTCGTCTGGCGTTGCAGCATCTCACTGTGCGTGTGAGAGAACGCGAGCCGCCTTCATTAACACCGGGCAGAGCCTGCGGACCAAGTGTGAGGTCGTAGCCGACAGCCTATTTGTGTTAATTGTTGCCGGTGGTTGGCCGGTGTGTGTGTTTGTATGTGCGTGTGTGTGTGTATGTGTGTGGGCTGACAGCTGGCCAGGTTCGAGTTGGTCTAAAACCATGTGCGCTCTGTCAGGGTTGTACAGGCGCCTTCTTTAGGATTGATGAATTGCCTGCTTTCTTGATTAAACCCTCCGTCACTTCCCAACAAAACAAAAACCCCAACAGAAAAAAAAACCCCAGAGCGAGTTGAGGGGAGGAGAGGTAACACGTCTGGTAAATCTGTCATCTGAAGTCACGTCGTGTACAGATGTGATGCGCAGGAGCTTTGACATTTATTACCAGAATATTAAAAACTAATTCACATTTATTTTGCAGCCCTTTTTTTTCAACTTGACAGTTCAAGCTCATTTGAAAAGTTATCAAGTTTTCATAGCAGCTCCGCCCTTTTGCTTTCTTCACCGGGCTGCTTTGATCCACGCCAAGTCCCTTCGCCAATTAGCTCTGTTATTCATTCTCTGACGGAAAAGCAGGAGAGTTTAAAGGTAATTAAACGCACGTTCATGAAATGTGTCTAAAAAGCATATGTTTGATAAAAAATGAATGCGAAAGTGCGAAGCCCTAAAATAGACCTATATGACGTGTTGCGTTCCAATCTCTCATCATTAGCTACGGGACAACGTACACTATTCAGCAGGCGTCCACCTGATCAGAAGGTAAACGTAATAAAAAATACAACATTTACATATCTATTGCATTAATCAAAAATAAATCCTGACATTGGCCCTGATCTAACGTAATATGGAGAGCAATTATTTCCCTATCCATTAGAGGGACTTCAATTAACATACAGCAGACAGTTCATCCTTCAGAGGAGGAGGAGGAGGAAAAAATAGGAGGCTCAAAATTAACTTGGGTTTGCAAAATATCTTGGCAGGATGACAGTGATTTTTGATTTTCAGGAAACAATATCGGAATTCTTATTAAACTACGTGCATCTGCTTTTAATTTGCTGCAAATAATTGGAAAATGCAATAGAGCTTTCCAATTAAAGCTCCACTTTATGCTGTTTAATAATACCCTCATAATATTATAGCTTATGAAATGACAGGTGAGTTGGTGTATGAATAAAACATAAAGCCCTGTAATAAGAGACAGAAAAAAAAAACGGGACAGTTGTTGGGGGGCTTTTAAATGCTCCACATAATTTGCATATATTAATCTCCCCTTTTCAGCCTTATCAAGTATTCCACTGTATTTGAAGTTAAAATAGTCGTGACAGGCAGGGGTGCGCTTCGTTTTTCCAAGGATTTATTACTTGTATAATTCTGGATCTTTAATAAGCCAATATGACTGATCCTCTGAGTTCTGTGGAATTTGGTTAATTGTTCCAGATGGTGCTCACTGATTATGCAAAATTACTTTATTTCTCCTCTTTTTTTTCCCCCAGCTACACCATTTCTTGATTGACTAACATGGAGAAAAAAGATTATTTTTGGCGCCGCACTTTCATTAAGAGGGTTCTCATCAGGTTTCAAACAAAAGTTCCATCTTATCTGCCTGTGTAGTTCCAGGCGAGGCTGTGCACGGGGAGGCTCTTATCTCAAACTGCTTCTGCACCGCTGGGGTTATATTTTAGAATAACACAATTCTTTAGTCTGAGGGATTAAAAAACACAATCTCTGCGTATAGCGACACAAAAGTTATTATGGTGTGCGCCTTTCTCTTTCTGCCGCAGAGATTGATGAAATTACTAAGCAGCGAGGCTGGTCATCCACTCGCGGCTCGGGCTCCATCCACAACTCACCAGCATTCTGTTTTGCATCAGCTAAACCGAGCTGAATGAATCATTTATGGAAGTGTTATGGGGGAGTATCGGCAGATTTACTGCCGAGCTTTTACTTTAGATGGAATGGGATTTCTATGAAGCCGATCTTGATGTCTGAAGTAATGCCAAAGCTTACATCAAGACATGAAAGGAACGCTCTTAAAAGCCTCGTTTTGCTTCTTAATTCCCCTGGTCAGCAAAAGGCAAAGTAGAGTGGGGGGTGGGGGGGAGTAAAGGGGGAAAGGGAATGGGGAAATACTATTTACACCTAATGTAGACTCACGCACACGTCCTCAAACTGTGTACTACTCTTTGCAACTAATGATATGAAGGACTTAATATTTGATGGCTTGTAAATTGCAATGTTTCAATTAAAGGTTTAATTATTCATTTAGTTTGAGCTTTTCATCCATTTCACTTATTCAAAAAGGAGAATAGTTTTAACATTTTAACAAAAAAAATCAATGCTGAGGAAAAAAAAACAGAAGGGAATAATAAATTCATAATTGTTTCCGTGCAACGAAATGTTGGGTCATGGAATAAGTTAAATTGGTGACTTCTTCAGACAAACTCTATTTCATAATTCTGGAATTTATGTGTACTTTTAAGAATATTTTCAAATCTGAAAAATGAAAACTTCAGAAAAAACACTATATACGTTTATATAAGTAACCTTTTTTGTGAGGAAATTACATTTAAAGTATGACCAGAGCCCAAAACGTTATACAAAGATCAAAGTTTCTGTTTTCATGCAGATTCTGTCTCCTCGGTCAAAAAGCATTTTAGGATTCAGCGGTTTAAACACTCTTTAATCCCGTCAGCGTTTATGGTACTGGATCAAAACTCTGATTGGGCTACCGAGGTTATTTTGGAAACATGATCGATCCCAGAGTGATGGTGCCATCAACTAGTTGGGGATCAACCCTGGAGGAATGGTAATGGAATTTTCTGACTGCAGCCTTGAAGCCCTCAGGGTTTCAGGACCTTTTATTGCAGTCAAATAAGAGACTTTAAATGGCCTGTGCATCTGCAGGCCGGACTGGACTCTGGAGTCTCATCCCTCATTGCCTTCTATCCATCCCTGAGATAGTAGCAGTGCTCCATTAGTTCCAGTGTCCAGACGTGGACAGCCTCAATGGATGAGCCTGTCACGGCTCCCTCGTTTGCCCCATGTACAGCGGGGTTTGTTATCACACATCTAATTAGAACTTGATAAAAAATATTTCACAAAAATCTAGTCATTAAATATAGTTTAAGGAGATTTATGGTCAAATATGCCTTAAAGATCTTTTAATGGCTCTGCGGACTTGTTAAGTTTGTAATTAATGATCTTCTAATACATACTGTGGTGTGATTTAGAAAGCACAATGAGATTCTGGGAATGAAGTCGTTTTGGAAAAGGGCATCTGGGGCTCCCAGAAGCTCCATTAAGTAGGTCTGATCGGACTGGTTTGCTTAAAGGCGTGCTGCAAGAAAAGTTCACACACATCAGCATCTTCGCGTGTGGACGGAGCCGTGTTTGTGGTGAGGTCCGAGGACAATCTCCTAATCATGGAACAGTTCCTTTGTCAGTAGTAAATGATTGTGTTTATATTTGAGTGGTGTAAAAAGTCTTTCATCGGGGGGCCCACTAACCTACACGCAGTAAAACCAATACGAGAAAGCATATGTATCAAACGTAAATGTAAATGCAGCGCACTAATCACAGTCGCCTGTTCTGTCCGGAGAGTAATGGCGTCCTTATTAGCATAATTAATGACAAATGGCAGCGCAGCATTGGTGGATTGGTTGTAGGGGATGATGAATTAGTGGATGCCCGGGTTCCTGGCTGCCAAGGAGGCCTCTTTGGCTGTCACCCCTCCTGCTTCCACCCTGGCACAGTTCGTTACTCACC